ATCAAGCAATCTACATGTATTATCAAGCTCTGTCCAAGCCATTATGTTCAGCTCTTGAGTGAGATACGTTACTCTACTGTTCTATACTCTCCCCCAAGTGTATAGAACGGTAATGGAAAATTAAATTCTGGTAGAGGTAATCCTGGGAAAGTCTTAAGAAGTGCAAGGATCCCTTCCAATAGGGGTTTTCAACTCACACTAGTCAGTTCAGGCTACAAGCACTGCAGATAAACGACAGCCTGAAGGGTCATTAGGCTCAAATGTAAGGTATGGTTGCTGACAGAATCCTGCTTCATGCCCTTTTGGATTTCAACCCATTGCCCCACTTTGCATTGGCTGGCTTATACATAAATCAGCAGTTTCCCTTCCATGTTAAATGCCATTTTTGTGAAATAAGTAAATTAATAAACTGGCTAAATGAGTTACCACCCTTTTTTATCCATCCCCCTTTAGACTTCCTACCACCTTTCAAAAACGTTGAATGGTCCATATTATAGTCGTTTTTAAAGAAATGCATACTAATTTGTGTAATTTTATGCCCTATTTTAACAGCGTCACTTAGAATCTGCTGTCCATTTGTACAAGCGACGTGTTGACTGGCTGTCTATTGGCTGTAGACGGATATTTGGTACAATTGTGGAAAAGAGGTGACTTAAGTCTCTTCTTGCATCATTTATCTCCATTTATTCAAACTTCACATAGAAATTAACTCTTGTAGTTTTTACCCCTGATTTCATTGATGCACAACCCTCGAATCAAAACTTCCGCGAGCATTTGGCGATCCTGTAGCTCAGTTGGTACAACAATGGTTACTGGTATCTACTTTGCCTTGGTTGGTCCCCTAGCTATTATTACTTTGGCCAGCCCTATTTTTAATGGCTGCAGTCTTTTATTACTAAGTCTAAAGCCCAGAAGGAAAGTTACTTTATTTTCAATAATATTCAAGCTACATTTTTCTCTGACCTCGCCTTACTCCCAGTAAGTTCTTTTAGAGACATGCAGCAGTGCAGTACAAATGGACAGCAGAGTCCTTTTTACTGTTTAATCCTTTTTGAGCAAGTCCTAGTAAATACTTCCACACACAAACTTGAGTTGGCAAAGAGAACTCTGCCGCCTTGTTCAGAATTTCATTTGTTTTCTCTACTTTAGGGTGATTGTGTTGTTGGACATGTCAATATGCATGTCACCAGCTGTTCCCAAACTACAGGAAGATCTCAGACTTTTACTTGAACAGCAAATGGCTAACAAGACCTCCTACAACTTTATCTGGTAAACGTTTAACATTACCATTTCAAGCAAACGTTATATCTGACTAGTGTAAACTGTAGTTATGTTTTCTTCAAAAAGAAACAGTCACTTCTATCTATAGTATACAATACTATATTTAACCTTCTCAAACTCATAAATAATTCATCAAGTTTAAACAAAGGAAATCATGACCGTGACAGTGTTTGGATATCTGATCTTAATTAGC